TTGACTTGGTTAGATTTTAGTTCTTTTATTTCTCCAGAAAGGGATTCTCTATTATCTTCTGTGCTTTTTTCAAGCCCAGCTAGTATCTTTATAATCGTCATTCTGAACTCTACTTCTGACATCTTACTAATGTCTGTATTGATTAGGTCCCTGGCAGTCAGTACTGCCTCTTGTTCTTTTTGTTGAGGTGAGTTTTTCCATCTTGTCATTTTGTCCAGAGGAGAATAGATGAATGAGAGAACAAAATGCTAAAAAAATGCTAAAAAGGTAACAACAACCCCAGAAAAATATACACCAAACAAATCAGAAGGGACCCAAAACTGGGGGGAAAAGTAAAGGGGAAAAAGAAAAAAGAATATGATCAGGCTGGTGAAAATAACAGAGCCACATAATAGATTTTTGGTCTTTTTTGGTCTGTTAGAAGAAATTGCCTCCCAAAATTTTAAAGAAAGATAAACGTATATATATACAAAAATAAGGGTAAATATGATGAAGGGATGGAATATGACTGTACAGATGAAAACTAAAAAGGATTTTAAAAAAGGAATTGATTAGAAGTTGGTTTAAAAAAAGAATGAAAAAATATTTTTTAAAAAAAGAGGGAATGTGATCTGGCGGGAGACTAGGAAAACATCATACAACAGATTTAGGGTATATTTTGGTCTGTTAGAAGAAACTGTATCCCAAAATTTTAAAGAAAGAAAAACATATATACACAAAAAGTAAGGTTAAATACAATGAAGGGATAGAGTATGAATGTAAAAATGAAAAATTAAGAAAGATTTTAAAAAAGGAATTGAGAAGATATTGGTTGAAAAAGAAAAGAAGAAAAATTCAACTAATAGAAAAAGAGAAAAATAAACTTTAAAATATTAACGCTGAAAGACTAAAGCATCATGGGAAAAAAGCCATGAATTCTATGTGCTGTATTACCCTAGTGCTGGGTTTTGCTGTTCTCATTGACTGGTAAATTTGGTCTTGGCTGGCTGGGGCGCCTGGGTGGCTCAGTCGTTAAGCGTCTGCCTTCGGCTCAGGTCATGATCCCAGGGTCCTGGGATCGAGCCCCACATCAGGCTTCCTGCTCCGCGGGAAGCCTGCTTCTCCCTCTCCCACTCCCCCTGCTTGTGTTCTCTCTCTCGCTGTCTCTCTCTGTCAAAATAAATAAATCTTAAAAAAAAAAAAAAAAAAAAATTTGGTCTTGGCTGCCTGTTCTTGCTGATCTTCTGGGGGAAGGGCCTATTGCAGTGATTCAAAAATGTCTTTGCCGGAGGCGGAATTGCCCCGCCCTTGCCGGGGGCCAGGCTAAATAATCTGCTCAGGTTTGCTCTGGGTAGCTTTTTTCCCTGAAAGCTTTCCAATCAGCTTTGGAGGATGAGAATGAAAATGACGGCCTCCCAATCTCTGGTCCCGGAGATGCTGAGAACTCGGGGCCCCCACTCCTCAGTGCGCCGAGAGAAAAGCAATCACTCCCGTCTCTCTGGTCTCCAGCCACACTCTGTGTTCACCTGGCCTGTGACCGAGCAAGTAAACTCTGGCACACGACCCCATTTGGAGTCTCCAAACCCAGGAGATCCCTGTGGTGCACTCCCGCGCCGCTCCTCCCTGGGGGGTAAGGGGAGTCTCCCCAGATCTGCCACTTATTGGGTCCCTGCTGGAAGAGCAGTGGCCCAACTGTGCCACGGATCATGGTTTATGGCAACCCCGAGCTGAGAGCCCACTCCTCAGCTCCGTCTTTGCAGCCGGCTTTCCCGCTCTGATACCTGGAAGCTCTACCACACTCTGGCAACCCTGGTCTTTCTGTGACCCCAAGGGTCCTGAGACCACACTGTCCCAGCGAGGGTTCCACCCCCCGCTTAGCCACTGGAGCGGCATCCCTCAGTGGAGCAGACTTGTAAAAGTTCCAATTTTGTGCTCTGCTGCTCTATCACTTGCTTGTAGCGGCTGACGGAGGCTCTCTCCCCCTGTGGTCTATTTTCCTGAACATCGCACCAGATTCACTTCTCCACACGTCCTACCTTCCAGAAATTGGTCACTTTTCTGTTCACAGAGTTGCTGTTATTGTTTTCTTCCATATCCTGTTGAGTTTGTAGGTGTTCAGAATGGTTTGATAACTATCTAGCTGAATTGCTGGGACCAGACTAAATTTAGGTCTCCTACTCTTCTGCCATCTGGCTCCTCCTCCACTAATATCTACTTTTAATTCGCTCATATATGTCTCTCATATACAAATTTGTATTATGTCATTTTACCCTAAAGGGATCACATTGCTCTTCTAAATGACATCTCTGGATACAACTGAAGCCTAGTGGAAAAAGGATGGACTGGATATTATAATACCTGTATTCTAGTTTCAATCTAGCACAACATATTCCATATGTGATCAGGGTTTCTTAATCTGAAAATAGGAATAATGTTTACCTCACAAACTGTTATAAATATTGGTAAGTACTGTTTTTATAAAAATGGAAAAATACGACATAAATGCAATGTTGTATTTTTATTCATCATCACCATGATACATCTAAAAGGCAAATTGTTTATTTTTAATCCTGATTTCCAGCACATCTTATCCAAAAATAATGGTGTGGGTAGTGAAAGGCCAAGCTATACTACAGGTAAATCATTATATCTAAGATTTCTGACTGGTGATCTCTAGAAGCATAGAGGTGACCCTTGCTCCAAAAATTCTAATTTCCCTTCTAATCAAGAATTGATTAAACTAATAAATAAAAATAATAAATGCAAGGATTGTTTTTAAATGTAGATTATCTCTTTTCAACAAGTGTCTCTTCTTTAGCATGGCATTTTATCACTCAAAGAAAATTACCAGAACTTTGCTGTATGACTGGTGAGGCTTTCATCATCTGTTTGATCTTTTAACAAGGTACTAAGCTACTGGCCAACTGAAATGAATGTCCAATTTCTAACTCTTTACAATATTTTGAAACAGATGTTAACATTTTACTTTGTTTTTCCTTAATATTTGTCTTTTGAATCAACTGCAAGCTTCTTCTGGTGTAAATATTTTCTTTCATGCCTTAGCTGTTTGATCACTTTATTTTTCCTGACTAATGTTTCACATTTTGCTCTTTGATACTCCCTGGTCAGACCCTTTGGGTCCAAGACTTCAAAGTAAACCAGACCAAATGGCACACAAGACCAATTCTATCCAAGCATTTTAAATTCAAATGTAGTTCTTCAAAATACTTGATGTGCTTTATGAAAAATCACTTCCTTTCTTCTACTCATCACTAGTAAATCTAAAGCATCTTTAAGTAAAAGGCAAAAAAATTAATGTGATTTTTGTCTGCATTATGTTTTTGGAGTTCTTTCTCATACAGCTTGATTTAGACAACATGAAGAAGAATTAGCAATCACATTTACTTCCTGTCAGACCACTGCTCCCTAAAAGTTACTTCAAAAGGCAATTATCACATATGAAAGAAGACACTAGAGCTTTACTGTGAACTTATTTTTATTATACTCAAAAGGGTTTATTTTTTATTTTTTAACAAATAAAATGTAGGCTATTTTTACAAAATATTGTTTTCATGCTTGGAAAACAACTGTTTGTTTCCTATGACCACAAGTTTTGGTATGTGAAACTAAAATTATTAATTTATGTACTTTAATAAGTAGGCCATCAAAAGAGAAAATTTTCCCATTAAGCAAGGAGCTTCTTGAGGACAGGAATCTATCTTACCCATTTTTGCACATCCAGCAGCCAGAAGAGAAGGTGCTCAATAAATATTGTCTTAATAATTAAAGGAAGGAATGACTAAGCAATTTATTTTAAGATTATTAGCGATGGCCTAATAAAAATTTAAGTAAGAAACCTATAATCTATCTTATAAAGATAAAAGGGTAATTTATAAATGAGTCCCTTTTAAAACACATTCCATGACTTCAAACCACAATTCTTGGTAATGGAGTGACAGAACTGATTTCAGAGAACCCAAAGAGCAAGATACAAATGGATACTATTAAATAAAATCACAAAGCAATTGAACAATACGATTAAGGTCTCTAGATTAGATAACAGTATTACATTAATTTTAATTTCCTTGTTTTGATATTTGTTTTGTGGTTATGTAAGAAAATTCCTTACTTTAGGAAATACAAACAAATATTTAGGGGTAAAAGGGCATCATATGCATTAATTACTCTTAAATGACTAAAAAAATATTAATATACACATACACCTATATGTGTAAGAAAAAAGAAATAAAGCAAATGTAGTGAAATGTTGACATTTGGGGAATCGAGTGAAGGCTATACAGGGATTCTTGTACTAGTTTGAAACTTCTATGTAATGAAAATAATGCCAAAATTAAACACTCAAAAAATAAAAGAATTATATTGTTAAAATGTCTAAATAAACAAATAAGACAAAAATCTGTATCAAAAGCATCTGGCTAAGAACAGAATAAAATAAACTTTCCTGTCTTGGAGGCCAACATAAACTGAATTCCATAGCAGAAGTGATCAAATAAATGTCTCCAAACTTAAACATAGACTTTCAAGTGTAGACTCTACCCCATTACCTCTGATACTTCCAACGACTTAACTTGGGTCTTAATATACAACTATATCTTATGGAACAAGGAATTTAATTTAGAAAGAGTAGAAAATACTATGAGAATGCTTTTCCTCAGTCTTTTAAGGAACACACATTATCACTGGAAGAATCTGGCCAGGCTTCTTGCCTAAAATTTACCTAATACAGGATGAAATGAAATTAATTAGTAAGCATTATAAGGTGAAGAAGGTCAATAATCTGTTAACCTCTCTGCCAATTCAATGAAATATCAATATTAGATATCTTTTGGACATTGGGAAAAACTGTCTACTCTTTTAAAAGTATATGGAAAATTAAAATATGTTAATAAAGCTAGTTTTGTGTCAGAAAGTAATATCACTAATAATTAATGAAATATACATTTTATCAAATATTACAAAGTTTAAGACACAACTCAGAAAAAAAGAAAACATATTCTTACCCAATTGGGAAATCAACATCATCACCATGAGCTGTCATGTGATAAAGTCCAAATTTAGCCAATTTAACATGTCCCTACAATAATAATAATAAAAATCACTATTAAATGTTTTAATATTGGTAGCAGGAAAAAGTATCATTATATATTTCATAAGTAAGGAAATCATCAGTCAGATACATTAAGAAAAAAAATTAATTTACCATAATTTTAGTTTACCATAATTTTATTAAAAACTATTTGCCAATGTTTGAAACCTGCTTTATACTCATTACAAATATATGTATATGTATACATGTATGTATGTATATACACACACATATATATATTACTTACATATAGATCTCAAAACAACAAATAACACTTAAAAATTTTTGTTTATATTTTCCAGGTATTTTGACAAAACAAAAACAGCTGAAATGTTCTCGTTTGTCTTTAATCCCTACTTAGGGGGCGCCTGAGTGGCTCAGTCGTTAAGTGTCTGCCTTCGGCTCAGGTCATGATCCCAGGGTCCCTAGGGTCCTGGGATCAAACCCTGCATGGGGCTCCCTGCTCGGCAGGAAGCCTGCTTCTCCCTCTCCCACTCCCCCTACGTGTGTTCCCTCTCTTTCTGTCTCTCTCTGTCAAATAGATAAAGTCTAAAAAAAAAAAAAAAAAAATCCCTGCTTAGAACATTTTTTGGTAATTTTAATAAAAGAATTTTTTTTTAAGGACTTGTAAGTCCATTCATAATGTTATAATTTAACCCTGACACGGGAGTTCTTAACTTGAAAAGATCAGGTCACAAATCAAGATATAAGTGAATCTACTAGGTTTCTAACAATTTTTATATTGTTTGAGAAAGCCATTATTATCACAAAAGTGAGGTTCTTAATAAAAAGCAAATATAAATTTTATAAGTCTCTTAAGTTTTCCTCCTTTTAGATATTTAAGACCTTAAAAAAGTTAAGGTGATTTTAAGATTTGTTTTCTTGTTCTCAAGAACTTTATTTCCCAGCACTATAAAATGTTTATATATTAAAAAAACTCAGATTGGTTAGATACTCCACTGCTATAAAAATGAAATTAGTGAGTACCACTTTAGCTTTTATGATTTTTAATATCATAGGGTAATAGTAGTAAAAGTCTTGGGAGAGAATCAGAGGAAAAGAATAATCCTACTAATACAAAAAATAATTCCCCAGAAAAAATTCTCTCAAAACTATTTTTTATATGCTTATGAAAAAAATGGAAGTATGATTATTCCTGAAAACATACCATCTTGCTACCATAATTTTCTTATAGGAGTTGACCTGCTTCTTATTAATCCCCCACAAGATTTCCAAGTAGAGAAGTGGCATTCCAATAAGAAAAGAAGCTTGGTATGAACAACTGGTAAATAAAGAAGATAAATGGAGAAAAAAAGAAAAAAGAAAAAATAGGGAAGAAGAAAAATAAAGAGGAGAAAATACAGTGCAGCTGTGTTATGACAAAATACTCCATGTAAATAGAGAAGCTTTCTTAAAATGAAAGCAAATTCAGAAGAGAATGGACTGCGAAGTTACCATACCTATTTTCCAGAAAGCAAATGAAAGGAAAAACCCAACATGAAGTTAGAAAATGAATCTTGGGAAAAAAAGAATAATGCATGTGAAAAACACATGGATTTATATAATTTAAAGATAGTTATTTTTTTCTAACCACCAAAAAGATATCACTTTCATAGAGCCATTTCATTATGAATATTATTAAAATATATTTGTACTCTATAGTCCCTCTGAGTGGGTTTGATTTCAGTAGCTTCCAACAACAAACAAATATTTAATGTATTATTTGGCAATTACCTTTCGGTCCAAAAGAATATTATGAGGAGACAGCGCTCGGTGTACTATACCATGTTTGTTCATATACTGCAAACCTTGAAGTACCTCAAATGCAATGCACAAAACCTTTGAATAGCTACGAAGAAGACAAAAAGTCACAGATCAATAGATCAATTACAAAGCAGATACAGAATCTGTTTTAAAGAATGAAATGAGGTTATAAAAATTCAGAGTTATATTTTTATTATCCCTCTTCTATTCAGAGAAAATACAATCTATACAATTTATAAAATATCCACTATATACATATTTTGGATTTTCTGATTACAACAGAATTGATCTGGCAAAGATCCTACAGTTTCCTAAGGCTACTCTAATAGCAGTATTTGTTTTTCCAGGGAGGGAGTTGAATTTTGGTGGTGTGCAATTAACCTTCTGCAGGTTTGGCTTTGCCAAATTACCAGAAAAGTTTCAGATATATGGCAGAACTAAGTCAAGGAAAACCACTGTTCCTGCTCAAGACAAAATGCCTAAGTCCCTGAAAAATGGCTAAAATATGTTCTATGGTAGATATACATGAGGTTACTTTCCATATCAATCCACAAAACAACCTCCAGCAATTTACGATTTATCAAACATTTCTCTTTAATTCTTTCTAAGCCATCTTCCACCCTGATGCCCAGTTTCTCTCTCTCTCTCTCCATCTCTTTCCTTTTTTTTTTTTTTTTTAATCAAGCACCATTCATGTGGGAAGTCAGGAATGAGATACTCAAAAGTAGGAAAGACTAATTCAAACCCAATCTCACAAACTATCAATATTAACATTTTGGTATAGATTTCTTTTCTACCCATTTTTTTTTTTGCCATCTTGAATTAGACTTTTAAAAAATTAATATCTACAGGCAATCACTACAAGTAATTTTTAAAAAAGATATAATTAAGCCAACAGTAGAGATAAAATGGAATTATAAAAAAAATAAGCTAGCATAATAAAAGGAAAAAAAGCACAGAGAACAAATGGAACAATTAGAAAATAACAGATTTTAATTAGGATGTATCAATCATTATATTAAATGTAAATGTAAACATCTAAACTCATCAAAGCTAAGAACTGTCAGATTGGATAGGAATTAAGAATCAATTATATTCAGGCTATAAGCAACCCACATTAAATAAAAGATGTAAATTAAAAGGATGGAATAACAGGTTACTGATTATCATGGGCTTGCTTGGAGGGATGGGTTGACTACAAAGAGTATGTGGAAATTTTACTTGATGGAATTGTTATCTTGATTTTGATGATGATTACACTACTGAGTTTGTCAAACTGATCTGTACACTGAAAAGGTTATATTTTAAAATATGTAAAGTATAGCTCAAAAAACGTGATGTTAAAAAAAGTAAGCTGAATAAAATTTTCCAAAAAAAAAACCCAACAAACTTGCAACACAACTCCCTCCTCTAAATTAAAACCATAAGAAAGAACAAGACATGAAAAGTGAAAATCCCTCTCATCTCATTCTAGTCTGACTTTCCAGAGGTATCCACCCTTAGCAGTTTCTGTTTTCAATTCTTCTGATGGCTAGACTTGTAGTTAATATAATTAAGTCTTCTTCGCTATGCAAGATGATATAGTTAACATACTTTTACAACTTTCCCATTTTCCTTTCCCAACTCCTGATTTTTATTAGTTATATTATTTTTACATTATCCAATTTCGTAAGTGTAATAAAAGAAATCTACATTTCTTTCTTGAAGGCTAAATTAATAAACAAGCAAATACATAATATGACATCGTGATTAAGTGCTAAGGAGAAAAAGTAGGGAAGAGAGAATTTGGGGTAGCAGGATGCTAATACATATAGAGTGTGATTCAAGGAAGGCCTCACTAAGGTGACATTTGTGCAGAAATCTAAAAGAAGTGAAAAAGACATGCAGCTCTCTGGGAAATAGGTGATTCAGGCAGAGGGCACAGTAAGCAAGTCCTGAACTGGGAGACGGCACAGCAGTTCAAAAAGTGCAATGAAGCCACTGTGCATGCAGTAGAATGAGCCAAGAGTAAGGTATTAAGAGATGAAGTCAGAGACATAACAAGGAGCCAGATCATGTAGGCCACTTAGGCCATTGTAAAGACTTTGGCTTTCATTCTGAGACAGACAGGAAGTGATTGTCACATTGCCATACTATGATTACTAAATATTCACTGTAGAACTAAGAAAAATATATATACCTAAGCCACTTAATCCCCAGTTCTCAAGCAAAAACATCCCAGTCATCAGGATTTAATAGATACTATAATTTTATAACTATTCATGAAGGTTATCATGAGCTACCATCATTTTTTATATCTCCTATTACTCATTTTGTACTTATATTTTTATTTAGCTAGAATACATCCATGAGAAAATTTTTCATAAGTGTGACATGAGTAGGACATTTTAAAGCATGACAGATCTTAAAATGTTTTATTCTTATCTTTAAACTTGGAAAAAGATTTCTCCATTGTCTTTAAGTGTTCTTTATTAATGGTAAGAAGTCCAGTATCAATGTAATTTTGTTGTTGATAGCTTGTTATTCCTTTCTGGAAGCTTAGGATTCTTTTTTACTTTATCCTTAGACTTGTAAAATTTTAGTCCAGTGTGTCCAGAGTGTGGGCATTTGTGCGTTTATGTTAGTAAGCAATAGGTGTGCCCTTTTAATCTGAAGACTCACATGTTCTATTAGCAGAAGAATTAACAAGGAAAAGTTGATTTGTTAGGTCTTTGACTGTTTTCTCCCTCTACTGTATCTTTTATTTAGAACTCTTAGTGGACAGGCAAAAATAAGATCCATTCTCCAGATCAAGTTTCTGTTTTATTTCCTATGAGCACGGCCTTTAGTCCTCTCTCTTCTATTTGATTTCCAGACTCTTTGTTCTATTCTGTAGTTGTTCCTTTTAAATAGATCCTATTCTCTGGTATGGATACAGTATTCTTTTGAGTCTCTCTGGGATAGTTACTAGAATTCTGCTAATTCAGGGGAGGGGAAAAAGAGGTTATCTTCATTTCCTCTGGGGTAAGTTTTTTTGTTTTTTTTTGTTTTCCTCCCTTGGCTCTCTTTCTCTCAGATTATTTTTTTTCCTCAAATGTCAGATAATCCCTGGTTGTCAGCCATATTTCAAAATAAATTGATATTCTTCATGAAGTATGTAAAAAAGAAACAATAAAAGTTACTATTTATAAGGAATGCTTATTTAAACTATTTCTCTTTATCAAATAGTTTCCCCCATATTATAAGCCACAACAGTCACTCTTTAGCAAATAGGAGATGTGTGAAACAAAAACAATTTTAAATTAAATGGAGTTTTCATAAACATCCTCAAAAAATAAACTATGGAAAGAAAAAGATGCCAAGCTTTAAAACAACTATAGTAACATTGATAAATGTGTGCATATGAAAGAAGGCAAATGTCTCCCCTTTTAAAAACAAAAGAAAAAACTTTGCCTGAGATTGACTAACAAAATGTTAAGAACCTAGTTTTCTAAGCTCATCTGGCTCTATGAGTCACGTTTACAGTAGTAATCTCTCTTGTCCTTGTTCTTCTCTTTCTGACATAAACATACACAATTCATAAAATCTTAAAAGCTGATGCCATATTCAGCCATGACACTAGAGGGCCTCAGTTGCACACTGCTTCAATATAGAGGGCTTTCTTAAGAAATTAAAACCAAACCTTTAAAGCGATTTTTCCATTTAAACCAGTTCTGAAACAGCTGAACACAGAAGACTGCATGTTCTATTTTGTCTACTTGCTTTTGCTGATTGTAAGATATAACTGGACAAGTTTAAAAAGCACATTCATGCTATTATCGAGTTGATGTATATATATGCTGAAATAATTTTTAAAAATTCAAACATAAGAAACCTGAAGTTCATGACAAACCTTTTCTTAGCTATTACTTGAGACTACACACGAATTACAGCTAATGGACTCAGTATTCTTCAGTATAAATCAAGAGTAAATCAGATTTGCTTATCTGCCCTTTTGTATTCCTAGGATTTAGTTTTTAAAATTTATTTCAAAATATAACATATAAGGTGGGGCGCCTGGGTGGCTCAGTCGTTAAGCATCTGCCTTCAGCTCAGGTCATGATTCCAGGGTTCTGAGATGGAGCCCCGCATAGGGCTCTCTGCCCAGCGGGAAGCCTGCTTCTCCCTCTCCATTCCCCTGCTTGTGTTCCCTCTCTCACTGTGTCTCTGTCAAATAAATAAATAAAATCTTTAAAATAAAAAAAATAAAATATAAGGTATAAGGAGAAGAAAAGATAGCATTATTTTCTGTAACAAGAAGGAATCAGTATTTGTGAAATTCTGTGTACTTTTTGCTTTTAAAACTATGTTCTTTAATACAGCCAATAATTTAGATCACAAAATCTTTTAAAAAATTATTTTGAAGTAGCTAATGCAATTATAACACAACAGCAAGGTAAAAAAAAAAAAAAATCATATGTCCAGTAATAGCTTGTTGCAGTTAATTGAAAATGGACTCCAGAAGGAGAGTTAGGATTAAGAGAGCGGGATTCACCCAATTAAAAAAAACAAAACAAAACAAAAAAAACGATGTTGGCAGGGGATAATAGGACTTCATCCTACACAATTCCCAAGTTAGAATCTTGTTAAAAAAGAAATCAATCACTAATCTAGAAAATGTAAATGAAACTTCAAGTCAGAAAATATTCTCTTCCTTTTGAAATTTTCAGTTACTACTGTTAACTCCCAAAGACTGCGAGGCTAGCATTTACTTTGTTACCATTGTCCTTGACACTCTGAAAAGTTTAATGAGCATAAGAATTTTTGGTATTCATAAACACATAGATATGGCCAAAAGGTAGCTTTCAAAATAATATCACTAATAATTTTTAATAAAGCAAGATGATCTTTTAAAATACTTTATATTTAAACATATCAATTAAAGGGCTATTAGCTGCTTGGTATTGTGTCACACTGCTGTGTTTTTAGGCTATGGGTATCAAGAGAAAGAACTGATCTCTACAAACAAGAAACCTATAGTATAGTTGGAAAGACAGATTTATAAACTGATGATTTTAATACAATTGAATTCAATAGAATTTCAATATAATCCAATAATTAAGTTAG